CAGTACTTATTACGTCGTCATTCCATAGGTCATCAATGATCGGCGCAGTAAGGTTGATTTCAGACGTTGACAACGTAGGACAGTTTCAGTTCTTAGATAGCTTTCAGTACATGGAATGGGACTAGATAAATTAGTTGAATATCTAGGTGAAAATATCAAAAAATTCCCTCTAACTGTTAACTATTTTACTAAGAAAGGCTATTCAATAGATAAGATTAAGCTTTTTTTTCAAAATGGTATCTTTCCATATGACTGGGCAAATGTATGGAAAAAATTTGACAGAATAAGCCTCCCATTTAGAAAGGAATTCTATTCTCTTCTTAGCCAGAAAATATAAGCAAGGGACTATAAATATGCGCAAAAAGTATGGCAAGAATTCGAGATGAAAAATTTTGGGAATATCATAATTATATCTAGAAACAGACATACTATTACTTGCAGATATTTTCATGAACTACACTATCATGTGCTTGAAAGACAACGGTTTGGATTCCTCTCATTATGTTTCAGCATCTGGAATGTTTAATGATTCTCTTTACAAAAGTAGCGAGGCAAAACTCAAGCTTATAACAGATATGGATAAATATCTATAAGTTGAAAATGACATTCATGAAGGTATGACAATAGTAAGTCATCGATATGCTAAAACTAATAATTCACAATATTCCAATTATAATCCCAGCAAGCTGAAGTCCTAAATCATGTATGAGGATATGAATGCTTTATATTCAGGTGCAATGACCAAATATATGTCTACAGAAATTTTAGGTAAAGTAGCACCAGAGAAAATACCAGATATCCAAAATATAGCACCAGATGCAGAAATAGGCTATACATTAGAAGTTGATCTAGAAGTCACAATGCATTTGCACGATTTCTTTGCAGATTATCCATTAACACCTGAAAAGCAGATAGTTCCAGAAAACTGGCTTAGTTTATATAACAAAAGATTAGTGAAAGATAAAGAAGTTAGAAATGGAAAATATGTGTCTGAAGAGAAGCTAGTCCAGACTCTCTTTAGTAAGAAGAATTATGTAATTCACTATCGAACTCTTCAGACATATATGAAGTTAGTAATGAAGGTTACAAAGATTCATGGTGGTCTTAAATTTTGGCAGTCTCTATGGATGAAAGACTATATTGAGGAAAATATTTGCAAGCGTAAAATTGTTAAAGCTAATAAGGATGAGTTTGGGGTTATGTATTATAAGCTAAAGAACAATACAGTATTGGGTAAACAGATAGAAAATGTCTATAAACATATGAGAGTAAAATTGCTTCAAATAGAAGAGAATAAAAAATCAGGCGTCTAGCAAGTTCACCATTGTATGTAGGCTTTAAAGCATTCGAAGGGAATAATAGCAGTCTATATATTAAAAAGCACAGTAACTCTAAACAAACTAATCTATATAGGGTAGGCAATTCTCAATATTCGCAAGGCTATAATGTTTAACTTTTGGTATGGTTACATAAAGCCTCGCTATGGAGATAAGGCCTGTCTACTTTATACAGATACAGACTCACTCATCATATGAATAGAAACTGAAGACATATATAAAGATCAAATGCGAGAGATCAGATATTTTTAATCTTAACTATTCAGGTGACTTATTTCTGATGAAGGATGAGAACAAAGGAAACTCAATAGACAAATCAGTATGCTTAAAGCCAAAAATGTATTCAGTTCTTCCAGCTGAACATGATTCAAAAACTCCTAAAACAGAAGCAGATTATGAGAAAGAGCTAGAGGAGAAAGAATTTAGAAAATCTCAGAGTGTAAAGTATTGGGAGAAAAAGCATGGCATCCAAAAGGCAAAGGGTATTAAGAAATGTGTGGTTAAAAGAGAGCTTCAACATGATAAATTTCTAGAATGTCTCAGAATTAGAAAGCTAACCTGATATGATATGTATGAATTTTGCAGTTATGATCATTAAATATATTTGGAGAGGGTAAATAAGATAGGGTTGAATCCATATGATAATAAACGCTGGATCTTATTTGATGGAATTCGAATCCTCCCATATGGCCATTGGTAGATTGAACTATATAAATGCCTGATAGCATCTGAAATATCTCCTAAGAAAGCAGAAGAAAGGGCTATGAAAGCTAAACTTCGTGTCAAGGCTTAGATGCTTTATAACAAATATTTTTTCAGATAAAAAAATCTAAAGAATATATTTTCATTAATTAAAGTTTTTTTATTGCTACAGTAGAAAGATACAAAAATGGTTGATCATAAGGTTATAGAACTTGCGCAAGTTAAAGTCATAAGAACAGCATTGCAAAAAGGCAGAAAATATGATAATTTTGCGAAAAATTATGGAGACTAACTAAAGAAACTGCAAATTGAAAAGGATCTGAATAACTATATTAAGATACTTGCAGTAAAAATGTTCCCTAAGGAAGAAGCATATACTAAAAGGCTAAAAAATTATCACAAAAGGTATGAAGATAATAATTTATATAGCAGTTTAAAAAGCTTTATTATCATATAACTAAGAAAAAAAATCACAAAAGATCAGATGATGAAATAGAGCAGATGCTCAAAGAAATAGCAATTTAGTAAATGACACATATATGCAAAACATATGAAACACCCCCTCAGTCAGTACTTACATAATTATTAGATTTTTTTGGCATAATAAATATTCAGTTATAGAATAAATCACTAAAATGACAACTGGTATAGTGAGTTTAGAGGATATTATAGATGATGTAAAAAAGAATATTAAAATGGTATTCCAAAATAGAGTTAGAGTGAAGATCAGCAAGAAGTTTATATAATTAGGCTTCAATTAACATTGGACAGATTAGCATGAGAGTTAGAATTTGCGCAAAATAATTATCAAGACATATCTATCAATCAGATTAATTGAATTGAATAAATTATCATGTATGGCTAAAAATCAAGAAATAATTGGCATAAGACAATGGGTAAGTTTACTACTAACTCCACACAGTATTTGCCATTATGCAATCCAGCTAAATACGAACACACAAATTATAGGGCAACTGGTTTTATTACTGTCAAGAATAAAAGGCAGGATAGGATTGTAGGTGTGTTTAATTATCCCGAGCTGAATGAATATCTAGCAGTCTGAAGCAGTGATCACCAGCTCAGAAGAATTTGTTGGATCACAAATTATGCAACAAAAATAGGCTGATCACATAACAAGTCTGTGTGATATAATAATTTTTGCATATTAAATTTGCATATATATATTAGCTAACCAGTAACTCTATTTTTTTCCTGAACAAACATGAGAAAAATGTTAAAGAAAGTCTTCACGTAACACAAAACTAGCTCTAAAAGTAAATAGTGCTGACAAAAGCATATGTTATGAAAGGTTGAGGGATTCTCAATTTCAAGATTGCCAGACGTAAGACCAACTATATGTAGATCTACATATGAAAAGGTATGAGGATTCTAATTTGCATGTGCTTTCATAAAACTTTTGGCATCATACGATAATTTTAATCATTATTCTTATCTCCTTATCTTTTTTCCAGTAAGATATAAAGCTGTAATGATATGTGGAAGTTCAGCCAACCTTTCGCAAAAAAACTTTCTCAGACAAAATAACGCAAAATAAGGTATGTACTGTATATACCAGAAGTTATGTATGAGAGCGAGTTTTTCTCACTATAGGTCTTATATTTAGGAAAGCAAGATGTCTGATACTATTATTATTACTCTCAATTGTCTTCTTTTATCTTGCGAGATAGGTGATAGATCAAATCTATCAGAAGGAAGTATTATTACATTTAAAATCTCTACCAGCGAAATAGCTGATCAGTTAAGAATTATGATTAGAGAAAGTAGCCATCCTTATTTGAAAAGATTCTTCCTGCTGTCTTTTTACTCTGAAAGATCAATGAAATTGGGAAAGATACATTAATTGGAAACTAAATTGAAGAATATTCTTGGGGGAAGGTCAAAATGGAACAGGAATACCTCCACATGAGTTGATTTCTAATTATTTCCTCCAAATGATAGAATTAATATTTATGTATTTATTTAAAACATTATATAATAGTGATATATTTATAATTTTATGTATTGTAGGCCATGGGTTCTGGCAACGTTTTTTTATTTTATAAATAAAGTATTATTATTTTATCAGTACATGAGAAAGGGTCACGTGTAATGATGCTATAAATCTAACATTTTTATCTAACCTATATAAAAACGTCAGGTGATAAATGAGAAGAGTCTTCACAGTTGGTAGGACGCAGTGATTAGGCGATCATTGCACTTATGATGCAATGTGGCTGATCATATAGTAGGCTTGTGATACAGAATAATTTCTTACATATAGTCTGCTTCAGTATTTTTTTCGCAAATAAAATCTTTTTTATTCTTGTCCTCACTTATGCTAGTTTGCACTAATAATATTTCACAAAAAATACTATATAAGCTGAAAACATATCTATCACTTTGTTCTGTCTTGTCAAAGGGAATATGTTTGAGAACGCTTTCTCTATTAAAATAAAGTTATTAAGGCTGAAAAACATTAAACTTTTTGTGATGTAGAGGCTGATGAACTCAAATTGTGAAAGGTGATGATTTCTAGCGATCAAAACAATCAATTAAGAAATTTAATACTCCAGGACAGTGACGAGCTGTTGGCAATAAATGATATAGGAGACTACTAGACCTCCTAAAAACATATTCATATTATCGTAAAATTGCCACGTATATATCTGGAGTGTCTGGTATAGTCTGTAATTTTATCCTTCGGTCATCATTAACCCTTGTATAATTTTAACTCATTCATTTCCAGTTCTCAGCTTGGAAGAGTCATTGTCGTATATTCTACCACCCATAACATATTCTCTGAAATGTATAAAATCGAAGACCACTATAAAGGTTAATAATGACTCACTGATAAGCATAAAGCTTTAGGGAGACTTTTTCGATAAAGTGAATAGTTTCAGCTTCAACCATCAACCAAGATTCAAGAGGCCACAATTTATTCCAGATAGTAATACCTGACTAAACACTTTTTTGAAAAATTGTAATTTCGTCAAAAGTTTCATCTCTTTAATATTTTATATGAATAAATATAAAATTATTATATTTTTTAATGTATTTTAATTCAAGAAATTTAGATCAAGTTAAATATAATTTTGGCAATTAAGTAAAATAATTTTGTTATTAATAAAAAACTAGTTTCGTCATTTCAGTTTCGTTAATTTCGTCATATTAAGAAAGGTAATTTCATCTGGTATCACTAATTCTAGATAAAGAAGTAGAAAATAAAGAGGATATTCTTGTTGCTATTAACATCAATATTTGTATGATACTGAATAGGCTTATGGGATCAGAATATAAATTTATTAACATCAATATTTGTATGATACTGAATAGGCTTATGGGATCAGAATATAAATTTTCAAGACGATCTACTGACATTCACAGCATACCAGATTTCAACTGTCATCTCGTGGGTTTATTGATCTTGGTGATGAAAGCTAAAAGAAAGCATGTTTAGAGGATATGGGCGAAGAGACGTTTCCCAAGTTTTATCAGACGAGTAAAGGCAAAGATGTAGTTTAACAAATCTATAATTATTTGGGAGGAAACGAACTTAGATACGGTATTCTTACCACCTATGATAATCACTGATTTATATGCTGAGAACACATGAAGCTCTGGATCTCAAAAACCCTTTCACTGGAATCTGAATCTCTACTGTACTCAAGGAATATGCTTATCTAACTCGACAGGCGAAAGAGAATCCCAGCTCTCCTAAACCTCAAGTACTAGTGTCGGCTTAAGGGAACAATAATTTACGTACTTTTCAATCAAACTCAAAATCATCATCCAGCTCTTCATTAACTAATCAGGCTTCCAGCACCTTTTCGAATTAACAATCGTCTTTTAACACCTCTGTAGATCAACAAAATTATCCCTTAGATTGTAGGATTTCGCAGACAAATTTTCCTGCTTATTTACTATAAATTCTCTTCTGATTTACTTTTATAAATAATTAATATTTTAAAAAAATTTTTTTTTTAAATTAATTATATAAATATGTAATATATTATAATAAGTTTTATCTTTAATTATATA